CCACTTTTTTGTGTCATAACCACCTCCGCAACATCTCCAAAATACGTCTGTTCCTAACCCCGGAAACCACTAAGTAACTCATCCACTCCCTTATTATATCACGCCTTGACTACTGTAACTCCCTCCTCACTAACCTACCTCACCGCAGGCTATCCCACTACAGTCCATCATGAATGCTGCTTCCAGACTCATTCACCTTACTAACCGCTCTCTATCTGCCACCCCTCTCTGCCAATCCCTCCACTGGCTTCCAATTTCCCAGCGCATAAAATTCAAAACACTGACGTATAAAGCCGTTCATAACACTGCCCCAAATTACATCACTGATCTTGTCTCTAAATACCACCCTAACCGTAATCTCTGCTCCTTGCAACTACCTCGTACTCTCTAGCTCCCATGTCTCCTCCTCCCATGCTCGTCTCCAGGATTTCTCAAGGGCTTCGCCCATCCTCTGGAACTTCCTACCCCAAGCTATCGCCTACTCTGCTCACCTTTAGGCGCACTCTGAAGACCCATCTCTTCAGGGAAGCCTACGCCGACCCCAGCTAATACTGGAATCCACTACTCTTCCAACCACTCCATCCCCCACAGCTAATTACCTCTTGTACCACTATCTCCTCCCTCCTAGATTGTAAGCTCCCTGGATCAGGGCCCTCTAATCCCTCTTGTATTGAACTGGATTGTTACTGTACTGTCTCCCCTTCATAATGTGAAGCGCTGAGCGAACTGTTGGCGCTATACAAGTCCTGTATAATAATAATAAATACCAATACAAGCAAAACAAATAAACATGAGAATGCCGAAACGTTTGTAATTGCAAGTTTTCTGGGTGAAGTGTGGTACATTATCTGACAGAAATGCTGGGGTGCCAATATTTTTGGCCAAGACTGTATAATGCTTTTTAATTTTTTGGCACACTGCAAGAAAAAAAAAAAAAAAAAAAATCAGCAATGATTTTGTGTCCATGTCATCTGATTGCTGGCCAGCAGATGGCAGCATCCAACAAGGAAAGGGCCTGGCGCAGCACTAATGGTGCCATGAGCGATTATGCTGTTTGCAGGATTGCAAGCCGCCATTTGTCGCTCCCAGCGATATACCTGCAGGGGCACATATCAAGGAAAGGGGGTGGGGGGGGGAGAGGAAATGATTAACTTGTGTTTTCCTGCAAGGGATCAACATACAGAAATTTAAATGAGATGTTAAACGTTGTGTAAACAGATGTATTCGACCACCGCGGCTTGTATACCTAAACCGCAGATAAATCTCGCCGCGGATTGAAGGTACGCTCCAGCTGTATATGAAAATATTCCATTGGAACGTACCCGGGGGGCGCAACCCAACTCCTGAGCGCCTCTAAATTTTATCCTGACATTTATCTTGTGCAGATGGCTGCCCGGCATGCGAAGCTATCCTTGTGGCCACTGCTATCCTTTTTTATTATTTTTGTTTTTATTTTTTATTCCTAGTGGCCTTGAATCTGATTATAGAGGATGTCGTGTTCTGTTCTGCAGCTGTGGACTCCACCCTCAAAAGCAGGGGCGACTGACCATTTGGAAACTCTGGCACTGCCCGAGGGCCCGGGGTCAGTAGGGGGGCTCCATGAGATGCCCCTGGTACCTTTTTCATAGGCTTTTTTGAGTTTGGGCAAGGACACAGGGGCCCCATGATCCCCTATTGCCCGGGAGCCCCATGAGTTGTCAGTCCGCCCCTGCTCTGAAGTTTTTCAGAGGAGTGGGTTGTCCAGCAAAGCGTCCTGTGACAAGAGACTGCAGTACCAAAGAAGCCCTGTGAAAAGTCTGCTGAATCTGCTTTGTGGATCATCTGGCATTGAATGGTAACCGGTTCTAGACTAGCTTGAAAAATAGTTAATATAAGGGAGAAAGAGGAAAATGCCAAATTGCCATAAAGCATCTGCTGTCTTATATAGGGCCATTCCAATGACCTTGCATGCTATACGCTCCATAGCAGGGGTCTCCAAACCACGGCCCATGGGCCAGATCCGGCCCATTACAAGATCTTATCTGGCCCATTGTTAGAGTAGGTGGCGTATACTGCATGTGCATAGAATGAGGATTCGGGTCAGTAGAGGCTGCCTATAGGCTCTGCTTCCAGCTGGTGTAAGGGGGACTCTGCTGAGAACCCTGATGTTAGGGGGGCTCTAATGTTTGGGGGACTCTGATGAGGATCCCAATGTGGGGGGGGGTGGCCTCTGATGGGGACCCTAATGCAAAGGGGTGGCTCTGATGGATGCCTTGATGTAAGGGTTCCTATGATTGGGACGCTGACATAAGAGTAGCTCTGATGAAGACCCTGATGAAAGTAGGGGCTCAGATAGGGACCCTGAAGAAAGGGGGGATTCTGAGGACCCTGATGTAAGGGGGACTATGATGGGGACACTGATGTATGTAAGGGGGGGCTCTGCTGAGGACCCTGATGTAAGGAGGACTATGATGGGGACCCTGATATAAGGGGGGGGGGGGGGCTCTGATGAGAACCCTGATGTAAAGGGGACTTTTATGGGGACCCTGATATTAAAATGGACTCTGATAGGGACCCTGATGTAAGGGGGGGGGCCTCTGATGAGGACCCTGATGTAAGAGGGGCTCTTATAGGGACCCTGATATAAGATGACTCTGATGGGGACCCTAATGAAAGGGGGGCACTGATGGGGATTTTGATGTAAGGGGGACCAGGGGTGTCCCTAGGGTTGGTGTCACTCGGTGCGGTAACACTTGGTGACACCCCCTCTGATGAGCTGCGGATTGGGGAGCATAATGGATCAGAGTCCGATCCTTTATGCTCCCCAATCTGCAGATCCAATCCATCCTGCGGGGGATCGTCGGCTTGCTTTACAACTTACCTTTTCGTGTAGCGAGTCCAATGTCACCCCCCGTGCGGTCGGTGTCACCCGGTGTGGTGCGCACTCCCCGCACCTGCCTTGGGATGCCCCTGAGGGGGACTCTGATATAAAAGTGGACTCTGATAAGGGACCCTAATGCAGGGGGGACTTTGATATAAACCCTAATGTAAGGGGAGTTCTGATGGGGTCTCTAATGTAAACAGAGACTCCTTTATTTATAAAACTGATTTATATTCCATGTACAAATATTGGTAACATTTAATATATTCCTCTTCGACTGCAATGGATTTAAATTCACTTTGCAAACCCAGATATGTCCTTGTAAAAATAGCAGTGACATCAGAGAGCAGAGCTGTGGGAGGGGCCCAGCAAACTCCACCTACTACAGGCTGCCTGTAGAAAACTACAGGAGGGGGCTGCGAGAGAGAGCAGAGCTGTGGGGGGAGCCTGACAGACCCACCCACTACAGAAAACTACAGGAGGGAGCGGAGACTAGACCAGTCACCCTGCACAAGGAGAGAGAGCAGAGCTGTGGGAGGATCCCAACAGGCTCCACCTACTACAGGCTGTCTGCAGAAGACTACAGGAGGGGGTGGAGACAAGACCAGTCCCCCTGCACAAGGAGAGAGAGCAGCAGTGAGCGGTCTTTATTACAGGAAGGGGCGGGACAAGACAAGTCACCCTGCACAGGGAGAGAGAGCAGCAGTGAGCGGTCTTTATTACAGGAAGGGGCGGGACAAGACAAGTCACCCTGCACAGGGAGAGAGAGCAGCAGTGAGCGGTCTTTATTACAGGAAGGGGCGGGACAAGACAAGTCACCCTGCACAGGGAGAGAGAGCAGAGCAGCAGTGAGCGGACAAGTCACCCTTATTACAGGAAGTCACAGATCTGGGAAGAAATACACAAAGCTCACTGAGATTCTAGAAGAATACACAGGATGGATGGAATCAGACAATATTTGCTGATCCCAGAGTTCAGATTTAATTTGGGGTTTCCTGCTGTAATGTGAAGTGGCCCCTGGAGTCTAATTGGCTGGTTATTTTAGGCTGAGGAAGGACCTTTGGTAAAACTCCTTGTAAGCCCGTCTCCATCGTCCTGACCCCCCCCCCCCTCCCTCCCCAGGTTATCCAACCGTCTCCTGTTCCGATAATCAGCCAAAATTGTTACATATTTTATTAGGTGCAGTTAATGATCCTCTCAGATGCTCCAGCTTGCATTGGTTTACTGTCTCTGGAAAGTGCATCTCGCTCGGAAGCGTCAAATTTGCAGCTGACAAAAAGCATTTGTCAACAGAATGTGTGTGCGCAACCCAGCAGATGGCGCGGCAAAGGGGGGGGGGCGAGGGGGGCGGCTTCTGCTCCGAAATTTGTTGTCACTGTTTAGTTTGAGCACTTACACACCTCCATCCTCCCTAAAATGATGAAAGGTGCGTGCGACTATGATGAATTACTCTGCCAGCCCCCTCCAAATCGCTCGCATTTAATAGACAGGAAAATGGTTGGCACATTTGAAGAAGGAACGGTAATTGGGAGAGCATATTGTGTTCTGTATTCTCCGGAATTCTTCTATTCCCGGGCGTAAAGCTCAACTGCAGGCAAATGGCTGAATACACAGATGAAAATTATATACAGGAACTGTTTTATCTGCCAAATATTTTAATACCTTTTTTTTAGACCCAGTGATGTCATCACTGGGTCTCTGTGTGCTTCTCTATGCAATGCAGCAGATCATAGCTGGTGGGAGGAGCTGGCAGGGTGATGTGAAAACGGCACAGCACCCTGCCTCAGTACTACTCTCAAGAGGCAGCAGCAATCAGTGGGGGGAGTTATGCAAATATCAAAATACCTTGATGGGTGGATGTCAGTCTGGAGGAATGGGTGTTCCTAAGCAAGCTGTATTTGCATAAGGAACGCCTACACTCGGCATTGAGCCTCTATAATCCAAAGTATTGAGATCCACAGGGACAGTCAGGCTGGGGAGGAAAACTATAGATGACACTGGGTGTCTTCCAGCCAGGAAAGGAGGCGGAGCTCTATCTGACTTGCTGCAGCTTCTAATGCACATTGTGAGAAGCTCCCAGTGTGCAGTGGCAACAGAGGAAGCCGTTTCAGTCCAGGAGAGGAGCCGGTACAACTGTGCGAGACTGCAGGGGAGGAGCCGGGACACCTGTGCGAGACTGAAGGGGAGGAGCCGGGACACCTGTGCGAGACTGAAGGGGAGGAGCCGGGACACCTGTGCGAGACTGAAGGGGAGGAGCCGGTACACCTGTGCGAGACTGCAGGGGAGGAGCCGGGACACCTGTGCGAGACTGCAGGGGAGGAGCCGGGGACACCTGTGCGAGACTGAAGGGGAGGAGTCGGGACACCTGTGTGAGACTGCAGGGGAGGAGCCGATATATCTGTGCGAGACTGAAAGGGAGGAGTCTGCACACCGGTGCGAGACTGAAAGGGAGGAGTCGGTACACCTGTGCGAGACTTAAGGGGAGGAGTCGGGACACCTGTGCGAGACTGAAGGGGAGGAGTCGGGACACCTGTGCGAGACTGAAGGGGAGGAGTCGGGACACCTGTGCGAGACTGAAGGGGAGGAGTCGGGACACCTGTGCGAGACTGAAGGGGAGGAGTCGGGACACCTGTGCGAGACTGCAGGGGAGGAGTCGGTACACCCGAGCGAGACTGGAGGGGAGGAGCCGGTACACCTGTGCAAGAATGAAGGGGAGGAGCCGGTACACCTGTGCAAGACTGAAGGGGAGGAGCCGGTACACCTGTGCAAGACTGAAGGGGAGGCCAGAAAGGAAGGTGAGATGTAAAGCTTCCCCCTTGTTGCTGAGAGATGTAGATGACGGTCTCGGTGTATGAGGAAGGAATAGGTGAACTATGGGACCTCCTTCAATAGAGGTCCACACGGAGGTGTACAGATCCAGCCCCATCCAGCACAGAATGCGTCTTTGTAGATAAAGCCGCTGTTTTCCCTCCGCCGAGGTGCCTCCATTTAGACCCTGCCATTGTCCTTCCCTACCAGAAGCGTGTGTCATGTGCGGGGAGCTCATTTAATTCCGCGATAACAGGAGGAGCGGGCTGAAAAGCTTTTCCAGGTGCTTTTAAATTGGCTAAACCGCTTTGCTTTGTTGCGGCGGGTCTCAGCGCGGGCACAGAGGCGCAATAAAAACGTCTTCAGACCTTAATCGTTCCTGCTGGGGCCGGGAATCTCCTGCCTGTGATGGCTCCATTCACTAGATCCATACTGAAGAATGTTGGAGAAGGAGAATTGATAGAATGGCATCTTGTGTGGATTCAATTATCAGCATTTTTTTTCTATGTTATATTGGACTTCTCAGAGGACATAGAAATAATTACATTGACACCGAGCGTCCTTCTACAGGCACACACCAAGGCCATTGTGGGAGGGGGTTGGTTAAAATGGATGTAAATGCCAACTGAATGACTTGTCTGTCTGTTCAATTTATAGCTGTTCACCCATTGAAACTGGGTGCAAATTCATTCTGTGTGGAAGGGGCAAATCGAATAGCCTCAGGTTATACACTCTGAAGAATGAATGTTAGCCATTGAAAAAAAAATACCACCTTATGGCCCCTAGGTGGTGCTGAGAAACCTTATTTTCTATGTTCACTAGATGGCGCAGAGGAGCCTACTTATGTCCTATAAAACAGTGGTCTCCAAACTGTGGTCCGGGGGCTAGATCCGGCCCTTTGGCAAAGACTTAATTCACCGACACCAATAATGGAGCACAGTTCCTCCCAATGACACCAATGATGGGCCATAGTTTCTTTCAATGACACCAACAGTGGGGCACAGTTCCTCCCAATGACACCAACAGTGGGGCACAGTTCCTCCCAATGACACCAACAATGGGACCCAATGGCACTAATGATGGGGCACAATTCCTGTCAATGACACCAGTGATGAGGCACAATTCCTTCCAAGGATGGGCCATAGTTCCTCTCAATGACACCAACAATGGGGCACAGTTCCTCCCAATGACACTAACAAGGAGACCCAATGGCACTAATGATGGAGTAAAATCTCTCTCAATGACACCAGTGATGGGCACAATTACTCCCAATAATACCAATGATGAGGCACAGTTCCTCCCAATGACACTAATGGGACCCAATGGCACTAATAATGGGGCACAATTCCTCCCAATGATGAGGCACAGTTCCTCCCAATGACACCAACAATGGGGCAGAATTCCTCCCAATGACACCAGCGATGGCTCACAATTCCTCCTAATGATACCAGTGATGAGGAACAGTTCCCCCCCAATGACACCAACAATGGGGCCCAATGATGGGGCACAATTGCTCCCAATGACGCTAGTGATGGGGCACAGTTCCTACCCATCACACCAAATGGTGGGACACTATTCCTACAAAAGACACCAATGATGAGACACTATTCCTACCAATAATGAGGCACTATTCCTGCCAATGATCCCAACCATGGGGCCCAATTACACCAATGATGGGGCACAATTCCTCCCAATGACACCAAGGATGGGACATTGTTTACTCCTACGGATGCTGGGACAATTTACTACTAGTCTTAAGGACAGTAAACTGGCCCTTTGTTTAAAAAGTTTGGAGACTCCTGCTATAAAAAATTGTGAATGGGAAAATACCACATTATGGCCACTAGATGGAGCTGAGGAACCTACCCATTTCCTATCATAGTCAGTGCTGTCTAGTGGCCATACTGCAATGTAAATGGAACAGTGTGTGTTTAGTATCGCTTCAATGGAGTGAATATGAAGGAGAAGAGGTGTGGCCCCTCCTCTGAGTCAGTTTGCTGTGTGTAATCTGATCTCCCCAATAGTCACAACTGTTCTCTGAGCCTCCACAAAGTTTCTGTTTTTTTCCTCCAGTTCATCACCTGCTGGTATCCAGAGCTACATCTCTAATTCTCGGACTCTTTTATAGCTTTTATATTTTTTGACTTGACTTTTTGACTTTCTTTTTTTTTTATATTTTTTATTTATCTTTAGGGCTCATGTACACTGCAGCTGATAAACTCACGTTTAGGAGCTGTTGAGCGTTTTTTCAGCAGCCCCTGAACTCACCCTAATGTTTTCCTATGTGTCCATGTACACATCTTCATTTACAGGCATTTGAGTTTACAGTCGTTTTTTTGAACGCAGAAAACTTGTGTTCAGCATTTCAAATGCAAAACGCTTGTAAACATGGCAAATTGCGTTTATAAGCGTTCGCGTTTGAAATTTCTTTTAACTGTTCCAGTTCCCGATGCTGTCCAGAGCCTTTTTTCATCATGAAAAATGCATACAAGGCGTTTTCAAGGTACTCAAATGGACAAAACACTGAACACAGGATGTTCCTACCAAGCTTGTCACACATTGTAATGACCAATTCACACCTCAGACCTCTCCCACCCTTGGAAACAAAAGATATGTTAATGACCATTCACACCTCAAATTCCTCATGAAGACCCCCTGCCAGGTGACCTTAATGACTCCCTCCACCAGACACCTTTCCCACCCTTGGAAACAAAAGAAATGTTAATGAGCAACTCACACCTAAGCTAATCTCAACACATACTGCTGTCTCTGCTTCTACTCTCTGTATTTATCTGAAACAATCTGAAATAGTTAATAATTTACCACTTTTCAGTGCATTCTTTGGTAGGTTCCTCCAATTCATCACCTGTTGCTATCCAGAGCTACATCTCTAATTCTTGGACTCTTTAATAGCTTTTATATTTTTTCACTTGACTTTTTGACTTTTTGTATTCCATCCCTCTTTATCACCGGCACAAACCCCCTGGCAGGGAAAGCTCTTCATTCCTGGGAGGTAAGTGGCTCTCATTGATGATGAAGAGGCAGCTGAGTTTAATTCTGAACAGCGGTGAGATGTCACCCGGCACGGCGGCACCTGCGGCTTCTGGCGCCGTTCTGGGCGCAGTCTGATGGTTCATTATCACTTCTGACAGAATGCTTGTTATTTCAATTTATGGCACGAGCAACGCCGTTCCCCGTATCGAAGAGGAGAGAGTCTGTTGCCATGGAGACTGTGAAAGGGCTTCACATACTGTTGCGAGCTTGTGAACCGTCAGTGCGCTCTGCCTTAACCCATGGCAACCGCATCCACCATCCGGACATCGATTACGGGGAACTTATGCTCCTTATAGAAACATATTTGGCTGGTAATGGGTCACGCTATAAATTGGAGCATCGTGTTGCTGTACGTACAGAAGGGAAATGTTTCAGCCACCAAAAGATTTAGAATTCTGTTCAGTCGGTCTTCAGATTCACTAAACCCCTTCCAGACAGTACAGCAAGGACCCTGACCTCACTTTTTTTTTTTTTTTTACCATTGCAGTTACAGCAATAAAGATTGGTCATAGACAACTCTGGCTTGTGATTTGGACAGTAAAGGATCAGAGGCATTCCCTTATCAGACAGAGAGAATCCATGAGAAGGGGGCCCCTGTACAGGAGGCTGATTGGAGGACTATTTAAAACAGAACAAAAGGCAAGACTTTTTTTTTTTTTTTTTGCATTTTGAATAGAATAAGGCAGGGTTATAACCCCTGTCAGTTTTTTTTTTTTGCCATCATGTGATTTCCCTTCACTTCCTGTCCCATAGCTGAAACAGGAAGTGAGAGGAAATCCCTCCAAAATCCAGGAATCTCTGGTTGTCACCAGAACTGGTGTCCCCAATGAAAGCTGATTTCCCCTCTGTTCCTGTAAAATTCCAGATTTTCTTTCACTTTCCATCTCAGTGATAATGGCCACCAGGACTCCAGAGACAGCAATAAGAACCTGACAGGCTCTAACCCCTCCCCACTCTGTCCAAAACTAAAACAAAAAGTTCGACCTTTAATTCTCCTTTAAGGTTTGTTTGTTTTCCTAGGTACATAACTCATATAATTGTGGGACTTGTATATCTGCCAATGAATATTATATGATTTATTTTTATTTATTAAAGTGGTTGTAAACCTTTCCATATCCCCAGTGAAGTGACAGGCTTCAGGTGATAGAGCGAGATGAAACAAATCCTCCTGCATAAGTTGTACCGGTTTATCTGCAGTCTTCTCTTTACATCTGTTTAAAGTGCAGAATCTATACAGCTTATTGGAGCGTTCAGAAAAAAGGGGGCGGAGAGCTGAAATTAAACACTGCAGAGCTCAGTGAGGAGATCTCTGGGAGCTGATTGGAGAAAGAGACACGCCCCCCTACACACAGCACACAGGAACAGAGCGGAGACTAAAAGTGAAGAAAAATGTTGCACTACGTCAAAAAAAAAAAAACCACTCAATACCTGTGAATCAAAAAATTAAAAAAAAAAAAAAAAAATCACCCAAAACAAAAACCAAGAATAATAATAATAATAAAAGTCAATATAAACTCAAGTCCAATCAAAATAGTGTTCTTATGTAAACCCTCCTGTGGATAACGAAAATATGTGCAGCTGTCACAAATTCCAGTGGGAAAACATTCTCCACCATATATCTGCTGACCTCACGCAGTGTGACCTCCGGTTATACAATGTTACAGTCTAACTGCACTTTTGGTCCCACTTGGACTCAGAAGATCAGCTTGTTAAATGGGGTCTCCAAAGTAAGCTCCCTCCTCATAAACGTCTTGGTGTCATCCGAATTCCTCATTAAAAAGAACTCAACATAGCGCTTTATCCTTTTAAACTTTTATGAAGCAATAAAACATAGGAAATGTTCTGGAGGTGCATATCTGCACCACGTATGATGAACATCCGTCAATATCTCGATTAAGCACTAGATGGCAGTATCATCTGAACAGCCGAGTCCTGTATATGAGCTCGGAAAACCATCACCATACGGAATGAAATGCAAGGCCAAGCCACGGGCCCTTCTCTGTAAATGCAATTGCCTGATAAAATGCCGTCTCTGGAGCGGTTTCACAAATACTACAACCGCCGTCCCGATGAATGAGAACGTCGTGATGTGATCCGTACGCTCCTACCGATGCGTTTCATCACTTGTCACGTGACTTCATCGAGGGGATACGATTGGACCGTCCTACTTACATTCAGTTGATATGATTGACAGCAGGCACCAACAAAGCGGAGGCTGTCAATCACAGGCTGTGTGCTGGAGCTCCCTCCACTGTCACCATTTTTCTAATCAGAAGTCATTCATGCTGATAGCAAAGGAATGAAGCAGCAGACAGAAATGACACCTAGTGCTCTGGAATGAGACAAGCACACACTATAGAGGGATATGCTTTGTCCATATTTCATGTCTGCGGTTTACAATCATTTTAAGATTTTGCATACTTTCAAAAATTGATTGAAAAAAGGTTGATAAGCAATGCTTTAAACCGGTTCCCCCCCCCGCCCCTATAGGAGAACTACTGCTACAGAGCATCAGGGCTGCGCAAAATCACGTGTGTGTGTATATATATATAATTTAGCACTTCTGGGTAGGGGGCATGTGTGCCACCCTACCTGCGCCGCCATTGGCGGCTACAGCTGTCGATCACCGAGTCCCGGGCCAGAGATTTCCCGCTGGCACCCGGCGATCGCTGAGGAACAGTGACAGAGGAAAGTTTGTGTGTAAACAACACAGGTCTATCTCCTGCCAGCAACAACATGCTGCTTTGTATTGCAGAGCAATACAAAGCAGCATGTTTCATTGGTAAAACATACACAGCACACAATTAATCCTTTGATTGCCCCAGATTTAACATCTGCCAGGTGTCATTAGTACAGTGGCAGTGCTTTTTATTAGCACTAATCACTGCAGGGGCGGACTGACAACTCATGCGGCCCCCGGGCAATAGGGGACCATGGGGCCCCTGTGTCCTTGCCCAAACTCAAAAAAAACCTATGAAAAAGGTACCAGGGGCACCTCATGGGGCCCCCTAATGACCCCGGGCCCTCGGGCAGTGCCCGAGTTTCCAAATGGTCAGTCCTCCCCTGGATCACTGTTTCAGTGTCACTGGGGATGTCAGTGGCATTTAGTCAGTCCCCCCCCCCCCAGTGTCAGAATGCCCGCCGCAGTCCCGCTATAAGTCGCTGATTGCCGCCATTACTAGTACAAAAAAAAAATCCCATTAGCTATACCGCCATTTGTAAACGCTATAACTTTAACGTAAACCAAATAATTTACATGTATTGGTATTTTTTTTAGCAAAGACACAGAGCAAAATACATTTTGGCCTAAATTTATGACGAAATTTGATTTTTTAAATTTTTTTACCGGACATTTTTAATAGCAAAAAGTCAAAAATCTAGTTTTTTTCCTCAAAATTGTCGGTATTTTTTTTTTTGTTAGCACAAAAAATAGAAATGCACAGGCAATTAAATACCCACCGAAAGAAAGCTCTTTTCGTGGGAAAAAAAGAGCATAAATTTAATTTGGGTGCAGTGCCGAATCGCAAAAAATGGCCTGGTCAGGAAGGGGGGTAAATCCTCTAGAGGGCAAGTGGTTAACCTCCCTGGCGGTATGAATATTTCAGATTTTTGGTGCTGAAAGCGGTACCATTTTTTTGCATGGAAATATGTATTTTTTTTTATTGTAGGCCTGTAATTTAGAAATAACTCACTGAAATCTGTCCGAATAAGAGTCTAGTAAACATCCCGGGGATGATAAAACTTGAAACACAAAATCATAAATTATAATTTAATAAATAATCATAAAAAATAATATAATAATAATAAATTTAATTCAATAATATAATCAAACCAAAAACACTGAGATGTGAAATATAGCGCCAAGTTCGCACATCGCTGAGCAAAGTCGCAGAATCGTTTTCAGTGTCTGATGAGGAATTTCCCCCACCAATCATTATCACTCAATTCTGCAAGTGGTTCTGATTTACTATCGCTGTTCTCTAGCCGGTCTAAAACCGATTTTGACCTAAAGGGACGCTTTTTGGACACCATGGACGTTTCTCAGTTTCCAGGCAGAAAGAACAGTAAAAATGCAGGCAGGGGACAGGACAAAGCACTCGGGACACAATGTATGTGAAATGGTTTCGAAACAGCAATGGAATAATACAGATATGTAATAAGTGAATTTTTTACAAAAAATTTCCCTGTTAAATTTTTTTTGTAAAATGTCAAATTTGCCGCCGTCCCGACGTCACAGGGACTGGAACACGGAAGCAGGATGCCGGCATCGGCCGGAGGAGATGGCCGGGGACGCTGCAGGGGACACATCGCGGGAGCGAAGGACAAGGTAAGCTCTGCAGGGACTCCCTATGCAACGCTCCGCATGGTAAGCTTGAGTGTAGCTCGGGGGGGGTTACCGCTTCTGGTGCTGAAAACTTTACCCCGAGCTACACTCGGGAATACCGCTAGGGAGGTTAAAGGGAGGATTTTCTATGTTTGTGTATTTTTTCTGTTTTTTTTTCCCTCCCTCAGAGTTTGTTTCTTTTAACATTCTGCTAAAACTTTGTGAAGTAGTACTACCATGGACCTTGAAGAAGGGGACGTACCCCCAAAGCTTGTCCTGAAAATTGTATGTTAGTGCAAATAAAAAAAGTATCACGCACAGTACTCAATTCTTTCTATTTCCAGGCAGAAATGTACAAAAATTGGGGAAAAGCCACTGTAGAGTAGAGTGAAGATCGTGCATTCACGCCTGACATTAGCGCACACATTATACGCACAATAACATGCGCTGTGTGAATAAATCCTTCATCAGTAAACTCAACAGTAGAGTTACACTTTAATTCATTTCTTAGGGCAGACCTAATTAAAGCATCAAAGCTTTTTATTTTTAGTGTCATGTATTTTATGGACATAGCCGGCTGGTAATTTGAGTGTCTTACAGGGCATAACATCTTCTTCATAAAAGCCTTCCTGGAGCTCCCATCCAGTAATGTTAAATTAATAGCACAGAGGTGACCCGGGGCATGGCGGCAGGAGCGCCCAGACGGACTGTGAACACACCATTGACGTCGGCCTTGTCTTTCTATAAAATGGTGTGCTACAACGCCATCCATCCTCATCCCCTACAATATAAGTTTAGATCCATCACGTTTCCCCTCGATCCCCAGTCATGCCTCCGAACAGATTGCAATATCCATTTCCTCGGCGCTTAATTAAAATTATAAATCAAAATCAGAGAGAGACAAGGGAAGTCTGGCTTTTACTAGTGTCGCCAGCTAAGGAAATGTGGTTCCAAAGTGTGTCCTAGCCACCGGCGGTGCTAATGATCCCAACAATGAGCTCTATGGGCTACGATTATGGTATTCCTACACTAAGCAGTTTTTTTTTTCCCAGATGGGGCAAACATCTGACCAGCTGCCCATTGGCCAAATATTCATGAACCCTAAAAGAGATGATGATACCATGATAAAGTAGTCATAAACTGATAAATGGTTAGCACTTCCGCCTGGCAGTACTGGGGTCGTTGGTTCAAATCCCAGCCACGGCACCTCCTGCCTGGAGTTTGCATGTTCTCCCTTTGCCTGCGTGGGTTTCCTCCGGGTACTCCGGTTTCCTCCCCACACTCCAAAGACATGCTGGTAGGTGAATTGTCTCTTGTTTAAATTGTCCCTAGTATGTGTATGTATGAATGTGAGTTAGGGACCTTAGAATGTACGCCCCTTGAGGGTTAGGGACTGATGTGAATGTACAATATATATGTAAAGTGCTGCGTAAATTGACGGCGCTATATAAGTATCTGAAATAAATAAATAAAACTAGACGTGCATGCCAAAATTTTCAGAATTTTTCGAATATACAAAACGAATGCCGAAGATAAGAAACAAATTCTTAACCCCTTCACACCAGCGCCTCCTGGCCCTTTAAGGGTTTCAGAAGCCAGGAGACGGGGCGGGGTTTAGGGTCATGTGACTGCCGTAACACGCCGTGACGGCGGTCACATGATCAGGAAAGGTCCCGATCGAAAGAGGAGATCGGGACCTTTCCGTGAGACATGTGTGCTGGGAGTACGTAGGGCACACGCTCTCAGTACATATGTTCTTATTTAATAGAATGCAAATGTGCGGCCGCTCTGCGTCTAGGCCCAGACTCAGGGAGGCCACATTTGCGTTCGGCCGGCCGGTGAAGAGGTTAAAAATGAATTGGCTCAACATTTTTGTTTTTCTTGGGATGCATTCGTTCATTGAACAATTCTGTATTGTCATATGTTGAGCCGATTCGTTTTCAGGATTCGTTTCGTATCTTTGGCATTCGTTTTGTGTATTTAAAAAATGTTGCAGCTTTTCCGGAAGATCGCTATATATTCGATATATGAAGGGTGTTCGGCTGTACTACGCACAGTAGTCAGTGGCAAGTGTGTCCTATAATTGATAGGCGGTGCACATGTCGCCGGCCAGCCCAGAGACCGTTAATCAAGATGGCAGATGACAGTGTTAGTGCATGCATGGAACAGCATATGGTGATGAAGTTTCTTGTGAATGAAGGCGTAAATCTTGTGGATATCTACAGAAGACTTCAAGCACAGTGCAGTGATGAGACGCTCAGCCGCAGAAAGTCTTTTGAATGGTGTAAACGTTTCAAAGATGGCCGTACATCTGTCAGTGACGATCCCGGCCATGGTGGTTCCCAACCCACAGCAGTCATTACTGTTCGGCTGTACTACGCGCAGTAGTCAGTGGCAAGTGTGTCCTATTACCGATAGGTGGGGCAAATGTCGCCGGCCAGCCCGGAGACCATGAATCAAGATGGCAGATGACAGTGTTAGTGCATGCATGGATCAGCGTATGGTGATGAAGTTTCTTGTGAATGAAGGCGTAAAACCCCGTGGATATCTACAGAAGACTTCAAGCACAGAGCGGTAATGAGACGCTCAGCCGCAGAATGTCTTTTGAATGGTGTAAACGTTTCAAAGATGGCCGTACCTCCGTCGGTGATGATCCCGGCCATGGTGGTTCCCAACCTACAGCAGTCATTCCTGTAAACAATTAGCACGCGGAATGCCTGATTCTGGATAATCGACGCATAACCAGTTGTGAGATTGCACAAGAGACCTATATTTCTGTGTCCTTTTACTGGTAGGTGGGGCAAATGTCACCGGCCAGCCCAGAGACCGTTAATCAAGATGGCAGACAACAGTGTTAGAGTGTGCATGGAACAGCGTGTTGTGATGAAGGTTCTTGTGAATGAAGGCGTAAATCTTGTGGATATCTACAGAAGACTTCCAGCACAGTGCAGTGATGAAACGCTCAGCTGCAGAAAGTCTTTTGAATGGTGTAAACGTTTCAAAGATGGCCATATGTCCGTCGGTGAAGATCCCGGCCATGGTGGTTCCCAACCCACAGCAGTCATTCCTGTGAACATTTAGCACATGGAACGCCTGATCCTGGATAATCGACGCATAACCAGTCGTGAGATTGCACAAGAGACATATTTGTGTGTCGTATTACTGATAGGTGGAGCACATGTCGCCGGCCAGTCCAGAGACCGTTAATCAAGATGGCAGACAACAGTGTTAGAGTGTGCATGGAACAGCGTGTTGTGATGAAGGTTCTTGTGAATGAAGGCGTAAATCTTGTGGATATCTACAGAAGACTTCCAGCACAGTGCAGTGATGAAATGCTCAGCTGCAGAAAGTCTTTTGAATGGTGTAAACGTTTCAAAGATGGCCATATGTCCGTCGGTGAAGATCCCGGCCATGGTGGTTCCCAACCACAGCAGTCATTCCTGTGAACATTTAGCACATGGAACGCCTGATTCTGGATAATCGACGCATAACCAGTTGTGAGATTGCACAAGAGACCTATATTTCTGTGTCCTTTACTGATAGGTGGGGCAAATGTCACCGGCCAGCCCAGAGACCGTTAATCAAGATGGCAGACAACAGTGTTAGAGTGTGCATGGAACAGCGTGTTGTGATGAAGTTTCTTGTGAATGAAGGCGTAAATCTTGTGGATATCTACAGAAGACTTCCAGCACAGTGCAGTGATGAAACGCTCAGCTGCAGAAAGTCTTTTGAATGGTGTAAACGTTTCAAAGATGGCCATATGTCCGTCGGTGAAGATCCCGGCCATGGTGGTTCCCAACCCACAGCAGTCATTCCTGTGAACATTTAGCACATGGAACGCCTGATCCTGGATAATCGACGCATAACCAGTTGTGAGATTGCACAAGAGACATATTTGTGTGTCGTATTACTGATAGGTGGAGCACATGTCGCCGGCCAGTCCAGAGACCGTTAATCAAGATGGCAGATGACAGTGTTAGTGCATGCATGGAACAGCGTATGGTGATGAAGTTTCTTGTGAATGAAGCCGTAAATCCCGTGGATATCTGCAAAAGACTTCAAGTACAGTACAGTGATGAGACGCTCAGCCGCAGAAAGTCTTTTGAATTGTGTAAACGTTTCAAAGATGGCCATGACTGAGAAATGTGCTTGGCGTCCAAAGAACCATTTCACATACATTTTGTCCCGAGTGCTTTGTCCGGAGCCCTGCCTGCATTTTTACTGTTCTTTCTGCCTGGAAACTGAGAAAAGTCCATGGTGTCCAAAAAGCGTCCCTTTAGGTCAAAAGAGGTTTTAGACCGGCTAGAGAACAGCGATAGTAAATCAGAACCACTTGCAGAATTGAGTGATAATGATTAGTGGGGGAAATTCCTCATCAGACACTGAAAACGATTCTGCGACTTTGCTCAGCGATGTGCGAACTTGGCGCTCTATTTCACATTTCAGTGTTTTTGGTTTGATTATATTATTGAATTTATTATTATTAGATTATTATTATTATTTTTTATGATTATTTATTATATTATAATTTATGATTTCGTGTTTCAAATTTTATCCTACCCGGGATGTTTACTAGACTCTTGTTCGGACAGATTTCAGTGAGTTATTCCTAAGAATTGCAATAAAAAAACAACATATTTCCATTGAAAACAATGTACCGTTTTGAGCACAGAAATATGGACATAATCAGACCACTAGGGAGGTAAGAACCATGTTATCGCCAGTATTATTACAGTTGACTCCCCCTGATCCCTTGTCCACCTAAATTTTCAGAAATTCCAAATATTGATAAGGATAACAACTTTTGCTCACGGTGAACAGTTTTGAAAGTTTATTTAGAAGAGAAGCGTTACATGAAGTAAAAGGTTAGAAAGTAGAGGGAGAAGCTGATGGGGGAGAGATCTGGGTGTAGACAACACGGGTCTCTCTCTGCTATCAGCAGGGACATGCTGCTTTCTATCTCTCTGCAAAGCAAAGCAGAGAGAGAAAAGAAAGCAGCACATCCCCTAGGAAAAGAGCACACAGTAAGCACAAAACCCGCACACAGTTAACCCTTTGATCGCCCCAGATGTTAACCCCTT